CAACTATTCACACATGGCTTAATATTTCTTTTTGATATATTCATTGTCCATATCAGTAATTAATCTTTTAATTATTCTTCTCGTTAGAGATGTTCTCAAATTAATCCAATAATTAAAAAATTTACACATTTTTTATAGTACGAGGTTGAAACGATTAAAAAAATCGAAGAAATTATGTTAGGAACTGAGATTATAATATAATTTTATCTAAATTCAATTTAAAATATATAAAAAATATATAATAAAAAATGAATGATAAACTACACGTTAGTATTTAAACTATTACTTTTGTTTTATTTTGTGACTTAAAATTTATTTTTTTAAAAACTTATGTCTAACGTTTAGTTTAGGTTTTATTTTGATATCATGTTATTAAAATATTAGCGATGATGTTGATGCGTCAGAATAAGGTAATACCAAGTTACCATTAAAAAATAAAAAATGTCACATTAATGATTATATTAATTTTTTAATATAAAACATCAAATTGAAACCTAAACAAAACATTAGGTATAATTCGAAAAAAACTTAAATACTAAAATGAAATAAAAACAATAACTTAAATACTAAATGTGTGATTTATCCAAAAATTAGTTGGTGGTCAAAAAATTGAAAGATGGTCAAAGAAAGAAACATCGGCACCGAATGGAATCCAATACGGTACCGTGTGGTCGGCAAATCCCCGAGAGAGTTTGGAAAAAAGGCAACTCTCTCCATTGCCTTGACGCAAAAGAAACCCCTAATCTACTCGGGAAAATATTTTAAAAAATATTAAAATTAAATAAATACTTATAAGAATGCCGAAATTATAATTTTTTTCGTTTAATAAAAGAGCTAAAGGTATTCAAATTGTATTATTTATATTTGAGGGATCTATCAGAGTAATTTATCCATTTAATCAAAATTTAAACTAATTCAAATTTGAGGATTAAGTTGAAATTATTATCAATTTTAATTAACGTGGACAAAATTGTCCAGTTAATGTTACTTTTACCGATATACTTTCAATTTTTACAGTTAGAAAAATCATTAAAGCTAAACTCACGTGCGGATTAAAGATTTTCTTTCAGATTTTAATTAAGAAATTTTAATTTATTAGTGTTTTATAAATTATTAATTTTCTAAATTATTATTATTTTGGTTTTGATAAAAAAATATGTAAAAGATTTTAGAAGCATCCGGTTGGTTCGACTCTAAAGGTTTATGAACACAAAAGCTATATAAACATGCCAAGTGGAAGTTTTGAGATGAAATGGTAATTACTGTTTGTTGACTAATAAAATGATTAAAGAATATTTAATCAAACTCATAATCACCTTTGATTTTGACTAAATCATATAAAATTTACTTTTTTATATATAAATGTATAAATTAAACATAACCCTTTTATCTTTATTATATCTTTACCTATCAAGTTCGAGTTGACTTAGCAACGAGATTGTCAGTATTAAGCCCGTGTCAAATAATTATAGTTATTTATTTTGTTAATCTACGAATATCCATCATAGCCATAAACCTGACACAAACATAAGGTTAGGGTATAAAACCTCATGCATGACATGGAAATGAGACTTGGATTCGATTATTCTTGATCCGCATTACTCATCTTCAACTCACCACCTACATAAAATCATCGATGGTAACTCTTCCTCTAAATTAAAAGAGATGAATAATATGCCATTTTAATGCATGTCACATTTTAATTTGTTAATAGTAGGGTTAGGTCGAATAAATTAACAAAAAAATTGAAAATAAAAATAACTCTAGAGTTTTCAAAAGTTATTTTCAAAGTAGACATGCAAAATGTTAGCATCACTAATTAACTAGTCTAGAAAGTATGTCATACATAAATAATCCAAATTAAATAAGTACTTTCAATGATAAATTTGAAGGTGACCTTCTAAGTAGGACCATTCTACTTGATTAATTATTTCAAATTAAGATGGCTTTGACTATGCAACCAAAATTGTTCCCCCCCCTCCTCCATGTAAATGATTTGCGAATTAAATTGATGTATTTAATAAATTAATGAGTCCCTTCCACGGGTAAAGTCAATTGGAACGTAAAAAACAATAATACAAAACAAATATTTAAGGAAAATTCTACGATGGTCAACGAGCACTGACGAATACTAATAAGTAATATTAGTTTAATTTATAAAAATTTAAAATTCTAAAGGGTTCAACATATAATTATAAATTAGTTAAAAATTTATAGATAAATTTATTTAAAATAAAGGTAAATTGTACCAGTGATCACCTAAGTATTATTCATTTTTATTTTGGATATCATTTTTGAAATTTTGTTAATCATGTCACTTTGCTATTTAAATATATTTAATTAAGTCACTTTCTATTAATATTTATGGAAAAGATGATTGAGAGTTAAAATATTTGATATAATTACACATTTGGTCCACATTACTTATATATTTATCAATTTGGTCCTAATTTTAATAAATTAAAATAAACTTAACCCTCAAATCAAATGGTGCCAAAGTAGTATTCATTCATATTATTCTTTCGATTTGTAGGAAAACAAACAATAAAGAAAATAAAAGAAAACTTACAAAATAATTATTTCATTTTTGAGAAACTAAAAAAAATTAAATATCAAACGCTTTGATTTCAAAAACTACATCTATATTAAGTAAAATTAAAATTTAAACTCTCAAAAATTAATCCATTAAAAATTAATCCAAAACAGTTAGATTTTACTTATAATGGGACGAATTAGGTAAAAGTAAAGTTATAATACTTGGATAACTGACAAATAAAAAATAAATAATTTTAAACAAACAATCTAAAAAAGTAATAAAATAAAACATCTAATTTAAACTCTTAAAATCATTGAAAGATATAATTTACACACATGAATTTGTCAAACAATTGCCTTATGTGTATCAATGTAAAATATATTATTTTAAGCTAAAAAAACGAAGAACATGGAGACATGCTGGCACGTCTCCTCACAAAACATTGACATGTTAATTTTTCTTTATTAATAGAAATAATAAAAGTCAATAAAGAGAAAATAAAAACTGTATTGGCTGACATTAAATTGGATTCTTCTTCAATTAACTACTTTGGTATATTTGATTTATTAAAATTAAGACCAAATTGATAGAATCTATAAGTAACAATGATCAAATGTGTGATTATACCAATATTTTAACTACATCATCTTTTCCGTTAAATATTAACGGCAAATGGTTTAATTGAATGCGTTTAAATAGTTGGGTGACCTAATTGATAAAATTTCAAAAATGATGGTCAAAATAAAAAGAGACAATAGTTAGGTGGTCAATGTATAAGTTATCTTTAAATTTTTAACTAATTTATAATTATACATTAAGTCCTTTAGAATTTTAAATTTTTATAAATTAAACTAATGATGTTCATCGTTAGTTGTGCTTATCAGTGTTCATGGAGCGTTGTAGAATCATCCAATATTTAAATATATTAAATTTATATATATATTAAATATTGAATATATATTACATTCATAGGGTTGAAGTGGCTGAATGTTTAATTCTTGCTGTTGACTAAAACTAATTTTACCATGTTAGGTTAGGTGTTGTCCTAGATATTCAAAAATTGTATATATTATTATTATTATTATTATTATTATTAATTATCAATTGATTTAGTGAAATGTAACATTAAATTTTTTAAATAATTTTAGTGATTTCAATATCAATATTGTAAATAAAAAAATTGGGTAAATTATGCAAATAGTACCTAAACTATCAGTTTTGGTCCATTTTAGCACCTAAACTTTCAATATTTTTATAACATGCCTAACATTTAGTTTTCATTTTATTCTAGTGCACCGTCGTTAAAAATTTAACGTGTTTAATACTTAAACTATCAATATTGGTCCGATTTAGTATCTAAACTTTCAATTTTTCAAAACTTAACATTAAATTTTGAACGATGGTACTAAAATGAAACAAAAATTAAAAATTTTAACAGCGGAGTACTAAAATAAAACAAAAACTAAACTTTAGGTATGACTTTGAAAAATTAAAAGTTTAGATGCTGAAATGGACCAAAACTGATAATTTACCCTAAAAATTAGATTAAAAGAATCACTTTTATAATAATAAATAATATGAAAAATTCGAACAGTGAACAGAAAAAAAATAAATTTGGATTAATCTTATACCGATTGTAAAGCAATGAAAATTTTCCAGATTTTCTATGTGAAAGGAAAATATTTTAGTCAAATACAAACAACCCGATTCCATGAAGTAAACCAACGTGAAAGAATGGTGGAGGTCAGACCCCACAGCTTGAAGCAGTCAACATGGGCGGCTAACCAGCTACCTTGCTTCAATTGCCTCTCATTTTCTCAGGAAACAAACACCACGGCCCAAAAAAAAAAAAAAACGGATTAATATTTATGGTTATTCCCATTTAACATTATTAAACAATATATATTTAAATAATACTGTTGTTGGCAAACGTTTCTTCAAAGCTTGGTGTATGGTCTTATGTGCAGGCGCTAGTGTTTTTCAACTGACTTTTTTGATTACGTTTTACAACTAGTTTTTTTTTAATTATTTTCTTTCATATTTTTCTCATGTTTTCCATCGATGGATGTTTAAGTAACTCATCACTGCTATGGTGAAAAGCTTGGTTGATTAACAAAGATGAAGAAGAAGATCATTTCGGGGGACCGAGCATTTTCATGGCGCTTCACTTTGTTTGTGCTTTTAATCCTGATTACATGTATGTGATTTTCATATTTTTTTCATCAGTTTTTGGTGTATGGTTTAATTTGATATTGACTTTTCGTACATATGAATGAAAATCTTTGATGGGTAGCTTTCATTTTTTTTATGTTAATTTGCTGTTATTGATTTTTGTGTTTCCCAAGGATGATTCTGTTGACTTTATGATAATTTTTATTCAAGCTGTTATGTCTTGTTCACCACATGTTTGTGTTTATTCAGGGAAGATTGTCTCTTTTTACTTCACTTGCAAAATTTGTGATGATTTGCAGGCACTGTTGTTGTTGGAGATTCTTTAGACACAGATAAACAGGCTCTGTTGAACCTGAAATCATTCCTGGAAGAACAGAACCGTGTAAATCGAGGAAGGTACTCGGAGTGGGATGCCGAGAACTCGACTCCGTGTCAATGGCATGGCGTCTTGTGTTCCTCTGACGGTGAAAGGGTCATTGGTATAAACCTTTCCGACAACAATATGTCTGGGAAGATGTTCGATCATTTCTCGGCCTTGACCGAGCTTCGGGAACTTGACCTCTCGAGAAACACAATCGGTGGAGCGATTCCGGATGATTTGAGCCAATGCAGCAGCCTGATATACCTTAACTTGTCACATAATATCCTAGAAGGAGAGCTGGTGTTGGCAGGTTTGACTAGTTTAGAGAAGCTTGATTTGTCTATGAATAGGATTCAAGGGGAGATTGAAGCTAATTTCCCAGCAATTTGCCAGAGATTGATTGTTGCAAACCTTTCAACCAATAATTTCACTGGCAACATAGATAAGTGCTTTGATGAATGCTTGAATCTGCAGCATTTGGATTTGAGTGCGAATAATTTTGTTGGCAGCATATGGAGTGGATTTGCAAGGCTGGTCGAGTATTCGGTTTCCGAAAACTACGTTTCCGGGACACTTTCGGGATCAATGTTTACAAACAATTGTAGTTTGCAGGTTTTGGACCTTTCAGAAAACAACTTTCAGGGTCAACTTCCAGGGGAGATTTCTAACTGCAAGAATTTGGTTGTGTTGAACATATGGGGAAACAATTTTACGGGGCCGATTCCATCGGAGATCAGGATGATTTCCAGTCTCGAAGGCTTGTACTTGGGGAGCAACAGGTTCTCCAATGTAATACCAGAATCCTTACTGAACCTCACAAACTTGGCCTTTTTGGATTTAAGCAAAAACAACTTTGGTGGGGAGATACAAGAGATTTTAGGGAGATTCACACAGGTGAAGTTCCTTGTGCTACATGGAAATGCATTCACTGGAGGGATTATATCTTCCGGTATTCTCAAATTACCGACGATTTCTCGATTAGACCTGAGTTATAACAACTTCTCTGGTTCATTACCTATTGAAATCTCTGAAATGAAGAGCTTGAATTTCTTGATGTTGGCGCACAACCAGTTTACAGGTGGTATACCACCTGAATTTGGCAACTTGCCTCAGTTACAAGCCCTCGATCTCTCCTTCAACCAACTTTCAGGATCTATCCCGCCGGCCCTTGGAAAACTGAGCTCACTTTTGTGGTTGATGCTTGCAAACAACTCTCTTACTGGCGAGATTCCACCCTAGATTGGAGGCTGCAGTAGCTTGTTATGGCTAAACCTTGAAAACAATCAACTTTCCGGGGAAATCCCTGCGGAGTTGGCAAAGATTGGTAGAAATGCTACTCGAACTTTTGAGTCGAATCAGCTACGCAATGACCGGATAATAGCTGGTTCAGGCGAGTGCTTGTCAATGAAGAGGTGGATACCAGCAGACTACCCTCCTTTCAGTTTTGTGTATGCAATTCTTACTAGGAAGAGCTGCAGAAGCTTATGGGATCGGTTGCTTAAAGGATATGGTCTTTTCCCGGTGTGTGCTTCAGGTTCAACCGTGAGGACATATCGAATCTCGGGTTATTTGCAACTTAGTGGGAACCTGTTCTCGGGCGAGATCCCTTCCGATATCGGTATGATGCAGAATTTCAGTATGCTTCACTTTGGTTTCAATGGCTTCAATGGAACACTGCCTGCGAATATCGGACAGTTGCCGCTTATCGTTCTAAATATAACCCGAAACAGATTTTCAGGAGAAATTCCAGTTGAGATTGGCAATGTCAAATGCTTAAAGAATCTAGATTTTTCATACAATAATTTTTCTGGCTTATTCCCAACAAGCTTCAACTACTTGACCGAACTGAGCAAGTTCAACATTTCATACAATCCGCTCATTTCTGGCGTAATCCCATCAACCGGTCAATTGGCAACGTTTGAGAAAGATTCTTACCTTGGAGATCCGCTACTTGATGTTCCAGATTTTATCGACAATGGAACAACTCGCCAGCAAAACCACGATGCAATGCATAAAAGATCTACCAAGTTGGCTGTGTTCTTGGTGTTATTATCATTAACGCTGGCCATTTTTGTTTTTGGGGTCATAACACTTGTAGTTTACATATTTGTGAAAAGTCCGGAAGAACCGCATGGATACCTCTTACAGGATACCATTTATCGACATGATTTAGCATCGAGCTCAGGAGGGTCATCACCATGGTTATCGTACACTGTTAAGGTCATCCGTTTGGACAAAACAGCTTTCACACATGCTGATATTTTAAAGGCTACAGGCAATTTTTCGGAGGATAGGATTATCGGAAAGGGAGGATTCGGAACAGTGTACCGAGGCGTATTGCCTGATGGGAGAGAAGTAGCAGTGAAAAAACTTCAACGAGAAGGAATCGAGGGCGAAAGGGAATTCCGGGCCGAGATGGAGGTCCTTAGTGGCAATGGCTTTGGTTGGCCACACCCTAACCTTGTAACACTTTATGGTTGGTGCCTTGATGGTTTAGAGAAAATATTGGTTTATGAGTACATGAGAGGTGGGAACCTCGAGGATCTTATTTCGGATCGGTTGCGGTTCACATGGCGGAGAAGGATCGATGTGGCAGTCGATATTGCGAGGGCATTAGTGTTTCTACATCATGAATGCTACCCTGCAATTGTCCATAGGGATGTCAAGGCTAGCAATGTCCTGTTAGATAAAGATGGGAGGGCAAGAGTTACGGATTTCGGTCTGGCTAGAGTTGTCGATGTCGGACATAGCCATGTGAGCACAATGGTGGCAGGAACTATCGGTTATGTTGCACCAGAATACGGGCAGACATGGAAAGCCACTACAAAAGGTGATGTATATAGTTACGGGGTATTAGCAATGGAACTGGCAACCGGGAGGCGAGCGGTCGACGGAGGGGAAGAATGCCTGGTGGAATGGGCCAGACGTATGATGGGAAATGGACGAAACGGATTAGCCCGAGCTGCGATACCAGTCGTGCTTTTCGGATCGGGGCTAGCAGACGGTGCTGAAGAGATGTGCGAGCTGCTCAGAATTGGTGCCCGATGCACGGCAGAAGCTCCACAAGCTAGACCGGACATGAAAGAGGTGCTAGCTATGCTGATTCGAATAACAAGCAGCAATCAGAATCTCAAGTCTTCACACAGTTAGTATGCGAGAGAGTTTACAAAACATAAAAACAGGTTTTAAAATATACAGATTTTCATGTATTGATTCTTCTTGTAAAGAGAATTTCTCCATTCGTTATTAATCAAAATTTTGTCCCAAGCAATTTCATGCAGAACTTTAGCAATTAGATTTCAGTCATTTTTTTAAATGTAAGAATGAATTTCAAGAGTAAGGGGTTGTTTGTTTGCCTCGTAATGGAACCATTCAGCGTTAAATGCTAAACCGTTCAGCATTCAACGCATTTGTTTTGCATCTCTGAATGATTCAGTGCTTACTGATTCAACAAAACAATGCTGAATGATTCAGTGCTGACTGATTCAGCAAAACAGTGCTGACTGATTCAATGCTGACTGATTCAGCAAAGCAGTGCTGGATGATTCGACACAAAATACATTCTGAATGATTCAGAGCTATTATCAAACAACATGTCACATTCAGAGCTAATTCATATAAAGCCTCTAAATCATTCAGCATTAGAATCATTCATCGCTTAATCATTCTGATGTAAACAAACAGCCCCTAAATGACATTATCTGATCATGTTACTCGAACTCGGATATGAATGTAAATAAAACTCGATTTTTGTTGTGAATCTGGATTTTTTCTTGTTAGTCTTCTTTTTGAAGATGACATTTGTTTTTTTCAAAAAATCTCGAGTAAGTAAATCATTGTAATAAATTATAATCATGTGGAAATGTGTTATTTTTCATTCATTTTCTTGTTACAAAATACATCAAATGTACCTGCAAGCATAAAATTTCATTTATATGTTCCAGAATTCAGCTGTTTTTTTCCTTGCTAAAAAACCCGATAATGATACAGTAAAGAACCTAGTTCGTATCTACAGTAAAATATTACTGACTTTAGATAACTGGAAATCCCCATGGGATACTATATCGATAAGGTTTCTGTTATCGACTGTTTTAACTAAATCAAGAAATCTGTGTCCGAGAGTTCGAGGACCTTGTGTGCACCGATGGGGTTTACGCCAGGTCGGAATGTGTTTCCTTCAATACACCTGAAATCGGATTTAAAATAAGTTAGATATTTGTTTCTTTTCTTTTTAATCTTCATGGTATCTGGAAGTGGCTATTTTGCTCGAAAACTAATCGATGGAGGACAACTCACAGTTCTTTCAAGAAAGGGTGTTTATAGAACGCGTCGGGAATCCTGCCTGAGAATTGGTTATGATCCAAGTACCTGTTAATTGTTGAAGTCCAAGAGCAGAAGTTAAGCATCACAACAATGCATGCAATGCAGTAAACACCCTACCAGAGACCCCAACCGTCTTTTTCGGCAAACTTTGATCAAGTAAAAGAAATGCAATCATCATGAAAAGAACACTTCTGATAAGAAAACAATACAGATTTCCCAATGAAACTCGACTCAAGAGTGGTAAACAAAAAAAAGAAATTTACAGATATGTCAATTTAGGAATATGGGCAAGGGCTGTTGGTATTGCTCCAGACATTTTGTTGTATGAAAGATACCTGTAACAAATAGAAAATAGTTAAGCGATTCCAGAGCCATAAGAGAAGAAGACACACATAATACTTAATGTTACTCGGACTCAGGTGTACATGTCGGATTTAGGGTATGTGCCCAACATAAGCATGTTCAGTGTTTTGTGCAAGTTTCTTCATGCATTTGGAGGGTCCCTAGAGGAACATATCCGCATCGAATGTGCATGATACAAGTATTGGAAACAGATACCTAAAGAACTATATATATACTGGCACTTACAATATCTCCAAATTTGTCAGATTTGCCAGCTGAGCAGGAATTCCTCCGGTCAAATAATTGTTATTTAGATACCTGCATATGAAACCGTTAAGAAAAACTGTGTATTTGATCATATATAGCAAAACATTAATCATTTTGTATAGAGTTAACAATTAAAACATGACATACAGATTTCGTAGAACCGGAAAGCCTCCTTCTATACGAATGAGCTCCCTAATAGTACCGACCAAATGATTATTACCAACATCCCTATAAAAAAAAGACCACTTAGCACAATAACAATAATAATAACACGCATTGAAAGGGTACAGAAAATAGTAGACAGAATATTACAAGTGCCGAAGGTTTTGTAAGGTTCCCAACTCTGCCGGCACTCGACCGGTGAAACGGTTTTCTTGAAGATAGAGATAACGAAGCTCAGGTAGATTTGCAAGCTCCCTCGGAATCTCACCCTTAAAATTGTTAAAGCTCAATGACCTGAAGAAATTTTCAATTACAAATTCCGAACTTACATACAAACACATTCCACATTAAAAGAGAGATTTCAGGGATTATAAAAAGATACTCACAGATGGGTTAGTATTTTCAGTTCACCGATCTCGGGAGGAAGAACATCTTGGAGTTTATTCCACCTCAAATTTCTGTACAGTTCGTCAAAGCATGTTATCAGATTTATGATAACAAATTTTTGAAGAAATAAAATGCTTTTACATAAAATGTTATTTGTTGTTCTTTCAAAAAAAAATTGAACGGCATTTCTAAATATTGGTCCAGATTTTAGATATAGAAACATGGTTATTATCGAATGATGAAGCTTGAATGAACTGATGTGTGTAACATGTCAAGTAAAATTGACTCGATTCAAAATTTCGTATGGCAAGCTATAGCCAGTAGCCTAGCCAGCATATTAAGTATACTCTAAAAGCAATCACTTCAGTAATAACAATGACCTTGATGTCATAATTGCTTCTCTTACGGAAAAATGCAGTCCACAATAGTTTTAAAGAACAAGAGGAAAGAAACTATAAGTGAAACTCACTGGAAGTATAAGAAATATGTCGAAAACAATTTACATAATAAGAAATCATACAACATTCTAAGTCGTCTCAGGCGTCCGATTTGGGGAGGAATTGGGCCTGTCAGCTTGTTGTTATGTAGATCCCTGTAATATTAGCAAAGTCAAGAAAAAGAATTCCAGTTAGAATTCTCATGCAAAATCCAGAGGCTAAAACATCTAAATTGTAAAACCTATGCTTATGATTATTTCATACATAAACTACCTTTTTTGTTGTTGAGAATCACGACCGAAACTTATTAAGTTGCTAGATGACACATTATTTCAGGTGAATGTAATTTATCTAACAATTAAAAGCATTCAGCACGAGTGAGAGATGTATAAATTATGGACATAAGCTTATTCAAATCTACGTTAGGTTGTTGTGAGGCAATGGATACAAGTGAAAAGACCTTGGGCAACATCCGAAAGGCAAACAGAAGAAACCGTGCTTGCTTCGACCTTTTATCTGCTCAATATATTTTCTTAATCTTTTATCCAAACCTTAGTATAAGGAAGAACAAACGTGCACAGGTCTCTTATTCATTTATGCATGCAAAATGCATTAAAATGTCAATGTCATCTGCATGGTTTATGGACCAGTAACAGGAATGGAACTCAAGTACATGCAATATTGTAAATCCTAAACGACTCCAAAAGAACTTGTGGAGACCAAAACCTGATCTCGTAATTTGAAGGTTAGGTTTACAGAGAATTTGATTTCCATTTTGAAGGACAGTATAAAAAATAGGTTTTGCGGACCTTAAACAAATAATTTTGCATATTAGGCATGGAAGAGAAACTTACAGCCTTGTTAAATCCAACAAATTAGTTACAGCAATAGGAAAAGGACCAACGATTGATACTGCATAGACTTCCCTGTAAAAGAAAATGGTACAATAACAAACTAATGTCAAAGTCGGTATAAACCGATAGAATTAGATACAATCATACAATAGTGAATCAACACAAAAAAGTAATACTCAAGTATCTTTCCCGTAACCCGAAACATAAGATCCGGGGGCAAGTTTGAGTAAAAATGAGAAGGTGAAAGGCATTTGAATTCAATCATAACAGAAAAGTACTCAATTGAGTATCTTTATGATGAACCTGAACATAAGATATAAAGACCAATGGGAATAAAACTTAGAATGGGAAAGAAAAAGGCATTTGCAATGTTCATTAGGTTGCATTGATGAAGCAAAATCCTGGCTTTTCACTAACAAGCATATTAAGCATTTTATTGATGACTCCGACTCTGATTTTTTCTTTAAATACCCATATTAAACACCCACATACAATGAATCCCAGAAATCGATATAAGGAAAAACTTAAAAAATAGATATGAACATATCCATGTCAAACACATACATGTATCCGACTTTCAGAACCATGTCCGAGTAACTTAGGCGGCAATGATACTTACAGTTCAGTAACAACTCTATAGTCTCCTTGAGTAGAACATGTTACACCAGACCAAGGTGGTAAATCACCATCTCCACAGGGATCATCTCCAATCCAGGCATATACCACTCTCCATCCAAGTGACGCTTTTATCTCATTCAAGGCTTTTACTGCAACACGATATGAACTATTAATCCATTGCGCCGCTTCTTATTTACATTATATCTTAATGTCCTTAATAAGGATAAGCCAATATTCATCCTCAACAGCAACCATTAACCATCAGTGTCCCTAAAAGCCTCTACTTAAAAACTTTAATTTTCTATTTTGCAATTGGGAAACACAGACTCTTAGGTTCTAACCATAAATAAAGTGTCAAATTTTCATTCAACCTAGATCAGCTTAAGTACATTTATCATCTAGATTGCTCTACAAAGGAGCAAGCTAAATGGATAAAAAGTTGCACGTAGTTGACATCTGACTCCTAAAAAGTTGACAGAAAATAACCAAAGAAGCCAAAAAAAGATCACAGCTTCAGTTCATGAATTTGAACACAATTACTGAAAGAATCAACTTACTTAGTACTAAAAAATGGGTTTTCGTTTTTTCCCAGTTTTATTAAATGAACAGGTATAAAAATCTGGGTTTAGTAAAAAGAAAGCTTCCATTTCTTAATTATTTTCCCCACATTTTCTCACAAACCAAACAGAGCAAAAAGAAAAGAGGGTCTAGTAGAAAGAACAAACAAAAAACTTACCATCTCTCTTGAGAGTTTTGGAGTGAGTAATGGAGACTGAGAAAGCGAAAATGTAAATCAAAATCAATGTCGGTGAGCAAAGTGAAGCCATTCTTGAGGTATACAAAGAGAGAGATCTAACCCCAAAAAGACTAAAAATAAATCCTTTCTTATAAATCTTATATATTAAATTGAAAATTCGGCTGAATTCACCATTTTTTTAATTTACTGCAATTTTTATCATTTTAACATTTTTCATTCTCGGACACATACGTGAACGAGAGGAAATCAAAAAAAAAAAAAAAAAAAAACAAGTAAAAAGATAAAATAGAATATCGTTTTTTTTGATAAATTTAAATACAAAATTATTTATCTTTGTAATTTTTGTTTTAAAAAATTATTTTAGTAACGAAAATTTTATATTTTTTATTGAAATGTAGTTTTTATTATTGACTTCTTTAAACTAAAAAATTTAAAATATATTCTCTAAATATTTATAAATTAATTTTTTTATTATAAAAATTAATGAATTATCTCATCAAATATGCCTTAACTTCCTTTGTCATCCAAATTCAAAACTGAAATTTAATTTAATAAATTTTTTATTTACATATATATATATATGTATCTTAATTCAAATATAAATTTATTAGATATGTCAAAAGAATCTTTGACTTCATTCATAAGAAGTATTTGAAGTTGATCAACTCTCCAACACTAAAAATTATTTTCGTATTAGCTTTTTATCTCTTGATTTTTTATAAATATTATATATTACATAGTTTCCTTAATTCAAATATAAATAGCAATAATCTTTTATATATATATATATATTGACCCGAGTTGTACATCTGACTCTGGTATGTAAATCTTTACATAAAGATTTTTTTACATATACAATGACTTGAACCTGAGACTCTACTTAAGCAATATCAAACTACTTATCACTTGAATCAATCCCGTTAGTAAAAAAGATCTTATATATATATATATTGATTAGTTCGTTTATAATTATTTTTTATATTTTATTTTGAGTTTTTGTACTATATTTATGTTGTAGATTTTATTTATTAATTTTCATTTTTTATTTTTAATATTTTGAAATGTTATTCTTCACTCAAATCATATGATGATAATGTAAGTAAATAGTAAAATAAAATAAAAATCAAAATAAAAATATGAGTTACATCTTCAACTTACCTATGTTAGAAAAATTAATAATAGATTTTTTTTATAACTATCGATATTCGATTTATTATCAATGAATTCAGATTATGTAATGTAAAGACAATGGTGATCCTTTTAACCTAATTTTATTTATTTACAAATATTAAGATTAGAATCCTTAATATTACTTAAAAAATAGTACTTCATCCTATTAGATCAACTGATTGTTAGTGTTAATAACAGAATTTGATGTGGCATATTTTATGACTAAAGTTTGGGTTAGGATCAAAATTTGATATAGTATAAGGATTAAATCCATAAATTCAATATAGTACAGGGACTAATTGAAATGTTTAGCCTCCTATTTTTCTTATGCTGAAATGCTTAAACGGTGCGTAGAGTAATCATCCGTCAACATTCAACAAGGGCACGGTAAAGATTCTCTCTTTTCCCACAAGACTCGTCTAGAAAAGAAAATCTCACTCCTTTTTCTCGGAAAATTTAACAACCTTGGAATAAAAAAAGGAAAGAAAAGGCAAATGGCGGCGTCGGGGATCTCAGCGACGACAAGAACAGAGGTTTTACAGCTCTACCGATCACTTCTGCGAGTGGCGCGTCAGTTCTGCGACTACAACATAAGGGAGTACACAAAACGACGAGCCATCGACGCATTTCGAGATAACAAGAACTTAACCGACCCTTCTCAGCTCGCCGCCGCTTTCTCCGACGGTAAGGCTCAGCTGGAAGTCGCCAAAAGACAGGCTTTGGTTTATCCACTCTATGCTCCAAAGGTCAAAAGCATTATGGAAATTAAGCTTTCTTAGAAAATATTTGTCATTACGTTTTGACTTGTTCCATTGGCGAATAAAAAGAAAAACTTTGATTCTTTGAGATAACTATCAAGTTTTGTACTTTTATGAAGTGATTTTAGTTATGTATACACTGTTTGGGATACATAGCATGTTGGGTTCTGTTTGTTTTTGATTATATGCGGGACTTTTGTTCTTTAAAAATTTATGATTTTATTAGCTACTAAATCATTACTGATCTGTCCTTTTGAGGTGAATGATAATTTGGGGTTTTCAGCTGTATGATAGAACTTGAATAGATTTGCAAATTGGAAGTTGTTGAAGTAGAAAATGCGGAAATCATTTTCTGGAAGACATTTTACAGGAAACAAACAGGCCCTTAGTTTGATGATTGATGTGTTTTTTTTTTGAGTTAATTGTTTATTTATCCTTGAAGATATAAATCATGTCAAAGCTATGTTTTCAAGTGTTAGTTAAATTGATAGCATTCAAGATGTAGCCATTTAAGAACTTAGTCAAAGACTGGTATTAGATCGATTGCATTTGCAGGCATTGAATCAATTCCGGTTATCTTGTTACGAGAAGAAAATGTCGTCGATGATATATTTCGTACTTTGCCTTATTTCCTCTCCTTTAGGTCCAAGATGAAGTTATGTAAATCAATAGCATTGGAGTTGTGGCCTTCAGAGAATTCTGTTAAAGACTGATATTAGAGGTCTAGGTTATGAACTTAGTTAAAGACTGATATTAGAGGTCTAGGTTATGAACTTAGTTAAAGACTGGTATTAGAGGTCTTGATTTTGATCTGTTAAGTTAATTTGAGTGCATTTCCAGGAATTTAATTAATGGAAATTGTCTTGTTACGATAAGGAAATTTCTTCGATGATATATTTCGTACATTCCCTTGTTTCCCTTCCTTTAGGAGAAAGCCCAAGTAGCTTTCTCGACATGTAGATATTGATTTTGAAATTGGAGAATCTCTTAATAACCTGTAGCATTCAGGGTTTGCTAGTTGAGAAGTATGTACAATAGTGTATCCTAGCTTAATAAATGGTCGTCTACAATGCTTTTGATGAAGATTGGCAGTATTTTTGGAGTAACAAATGCTAGCCATAGTTCTTTTGGAGCAATATGGATTGCTGTAGTGGAACTTGTATAGTGATTTATGAAGTTCTATGGCTAGAAAAGATATTTAGGTGAATTTGAAATCATTCACCGGCATGACCAATTTTGGCTGATCTTTTTCATGTTTGATATTGACAATGGATAACGAAAGGGAAACTGAGCCGATTTAGGCACCCCATAGACAATGTCAGCGTTAGATTATCAATTATTAATGTAAATATGCCCATCACTGTGTATTTTTCAGAGCATCCCCATGAGAAACCTTTATGGAAAGTTCACACGTTCCATATCTGATACATATTTCAGCCTGGATAGAAAGATCTTCATAGGTAAGCATCATGTTTCTTGTTACCTCTTATGCTTTTAGATAAGGATTTGAAACCATAAGATAGGACTTTGAGGTCAGTACCGGGAATATAAACTCGGGCAAAGGTGTCTACTTCCAATGTTACTTGGGCTCAGGCACGATCGTTGAATACCGGACATGTCCAACACAGGTCTGGTTAGATTTTTTTAAGTGTCAACCACGGATATTTGAAAAAAATATGAAATGATGTATCGGAGAGTTGTGGAATTGACATAATAATCATAGGTTTTGCAAAATCTAATACATTTAGTTGTATTGCCTGGAAATCAGGGCTCCCGCATAATCACTTAATAGAGTTGGCTTTCATTAGTGACTTCCTTTTCCCTAGCTTGCACTGAGATCACTAGCTTCATTGAATTTAACTTCTGAATTTTAGGGGTTTTGTTAGTAGGGTTGAGGGGGAAATTAGAGCTGTAAATAAATCACACATCAATGAACAGATATCTGTTTATTTTTTAACAGATTTGTGTTCAGATTTTTTCATTTAAGAATTTCAAGATTGTATTTGTACTATTTTTTAAAGTTATGTTTGTTCATTTCTATTCGTTTAAACATGCTTACGAATTGAATACACCTTTGTTCATACTCATTTATTTATTTTAGTAAACACTATACAAATGATTCACGAGTAAACAGATCAGATTATCGAAGTGCATATTGAAGAACAATCGTATGCCTAAAACTTGTGGGGGGGGGGGTCCCCATATTGGTGAAGGAGAGATAATATAGAACCCCCCATTCGTCTGAAAATGGAATCAAGATAGCAGAATATGAAGCTGAAGAAAGGTTAAAAACATGGCGGCATGAGCAAGCAAATCTCATCAGCAAAATCAAGAGACTGCACATTCTACTTCCCAAGTAATCCACGAGTTTTAGCCATCTTTAAAGAGACTGCAAACGGATATTTAGAACATCCACATCGTCTTGTACAGCCACATCTTTAAAGAGACTGCACCCCTAATCACGGAAGTCGGAATAAATTGAACTATATATTTCATTGAAATTACAGGATTTGGACATATAAATCAATTTTCAACTACCGTGCACTGCAAACCAACTTGGCTAAATTCAGTTCTTGATCTTACAAAACATCTTGCAAAACATAATATGGGGGAGAAACTTTACCATGTCCAGCACAGTTTTAGCCGGATCTGCATACAGTGTGCTCTATTTGAATGTAATCCCAATACAGAACTTTTTATTGCTGAAATTTGAACAAGAGAATGAAGAACATCGATGAAAATCCGAAGCTTTGGACCCCTGCAGGATAACCGGCTGTAACGAATGATAAACTACTGTTAATTACGGATCACTTTAAAAACTCGTACATGTGCTACTAGGGCAGTATTTCTACCTTGGTATATTTGGCTTACCTTGTGAAGCCATAACTTCATTCCCAGAACCTTCATCATGCAAATCACATACATCTTTCCTCGGTTTAATCATCAGAAGGCGTTTCTGTTGGAACATAACATGAAAAGGTTTGTCAGTTATGCCTACTATCGGGAAAAGAATACAAGTACACGGCTGAAATTAGGAGAACTAAAGTTACATGCATTTTGTGAGCAATAAGCATCTGAACTGCATATTAACTGGTGACATTAAGCACAAAACCAAATCAAAGCCCTTGATAAGTGCATCACGAGAGTTGGTTAAAGAGTATTACAAATTTGCAGCACTGTCTTAGAATGGTGGACTGTAATCAATTTTATCCAGATTTGCACCAGAAGAAACAAAGCCATGTGTAATACTATAATTCTGTTGAAAAGAAGCTTAAAGAAAGCATTGGAGAAAAGTAATTATAGTGAAGCATGCAAGGGAATAGCTATGTTATTTGGACTCGAATATGATTGCTGGATATGGGTATATTTTTCTTTTCTAAAGAGTCCTTGGAGAGTCATATCCTCATACCCATGTCCAGATATGTGTTTATCACAGGTACTTCAATAAGAATGAAGAGTCGAACAGAATAGGAGACTACTGTATTGATATGAAAAACATCTAAAATATCAACCAAGGACTAAAAAATGTCATTAAAATTAGTTACATTTACATACATGCAGGACATTGGAAAAATAAAATATATAAACTGCAAAAACAAAGAACAAGATTCAATAAAGTACGAACCTCTGAATCAGTTCCGAATCAATGGACATCAACAATCCTTACCACAGCCAACCCCTATGATTCCGAAAGATGTCTAACAATGACCATTGAATTTTGGGGTTCTTTTTTTAATCTTGAGCCCAAAAACCCAGGAACGCAAACAATACTAACCATCGAATTGGAAGTTAAATACATTACTCGGTGATAAAAAAGATCAGCTACCATAACAGTATTACCTGTGCCTCCAACTCCGCGATTTCTGTAAAGACACTTGTTCAATACATGCACGGCGCTTGCACTCTTCTTTAAGCATGCCCGTCATTTGGTACCTCAGCTCAGCCATTTCTTGTGCTAGATCCTCGGCTTCTTCCTTTGCTTTTAACTTTTGCTCTCTCAGTTCTTCCTGTTAACCATTTTCGAGATCAGGAATATAGCAGTCAAAACTCATATTTCACCTTGTTGGCCTTACATAATATCATAAAGGTTAATATAACTCCTTGAAACCACAATTTTACCTTAAGTTCCTTCACCAAGAGTTCATATTCATTTATCTGATGTGACATGCTTTTACCGTACTTCAAATCCATGTGACACAGACACCTGGAGATATTTTGGTTTTCCTCACTGGTCAAGAAGAAATTGATACAGCAGAAGAAATTTTGAAACATAGGGTAAGAGGCTTTGGGCCAATCTTCCTACTGAGCTTCAAGCCAAAATATTTGAACCACACACCATCGGTGCGCGTAAGGTAGTCTTTGCAACAAATATTGCAGAAACATCATTAACCATTGATGGCATTAAGTATGTCATTGATCCAGGTTTTTGCAAGATGAAATCTTATAATCCGAGGACTGGGATGGAGACTTTGCTAATAACTCCTATTTCTAAAGCCTCATCTAATCAACGTGCTGGTCGGTCTGGGCAAACAGGTCCAGGAAAGTGCTTTCGATTGTACACTGCATACAATTATTATACTGAGTTGGATGACAATACTGCACCAGAGATACAACGGACCAACTTAGCTAGTGTTGTTCTTTCTTTGAAGAGTCTTGGAATTCATGATTTGCTAAACTTCGATTTTATGGATCAACCGCCAGCTGAGGCTCTACTGAATGCGTTGGAACTTTTGTTTGCATTGAGCGCATTAAATAAACTTGGAGAGTTGACTAAAACTGGAAGGCGAATGGCAGAGTTCCCTCTTGATCCAATGCTATCCAAAACAATAGTTGCTTCCGACAAGTACAAGTGTTCAGATGAGATTATTTCCATTGCCGCTATGCTTTCTGTGGGGAATTCCATCTTTTACCGTCCAAAGGACAAACAAGTTCATGCTGATAATGCAAGGATGAATTTTCATACTGGCAATGTGGGTGGCCATATTGCTTTAATGAAGGTTGTTTATTTGAAGAATAATTTGGTTACAAGAGTCTAACCTTACTGGCATTCAAGCTTTTGCATTTATCGACTTGATAAGTTGACACTTTGCCTTGTTTTTATATTCTAGGTTTACAATTCTTGGAGAGAAACAAATTACTCAACACAGTGGTGTTATGAAAATTATATTCAGGTATAGTTCAAAGGATTGTTGTAAATTGATGGTACTACCTTCAACCTTTTCTTTAGAACTTTAAGGCTTCTTTTCATTTACTGATTTCAAGATGAACCTTTGAGTTTATTCATCTGTTTGTTCAGTACTCCTTTGATGAATATGAATTTTCTTGGCTTTCCTAGTGTTCATTTGTTTGCTTTTTGTTGATAGCTTATTATTTATGGTTTTTATGATTTCAATTTTTAGGTCAGGAGCATGAAGCGTGCGAGAGACATTAGGGATCAATTAGAGGGTCTCCTGGAGAGAGTTGAAACTGAACTAACATCCAGTCCTAATGATTTAGAGGCTATAAAGAAGGCCATTACATCTGGTAAGTAGCCAAAAGTTTAGTGTTTGCAGTACCTTCATAGTGTAAGTGCTCCAGCTGTTAACTCTAAAAATTCATCATATTCTTTCAGGATATTTCCCTCGTTCGGCTAGGTTGCAGAAAAATGGTTCTTACCGGACTGTGAAGCATCCACAGACTGTCTATATACATCCAAGCTCAGGCTTGGCACAGGTAAGATTTCCAATTGTTTTTTCTGTTAAAAAGGGACTAGTAGCAAATATAGCGCATGATGTACATAGCTGCTTCTGCAAATGCATGAAAAGTTTTTGTGATTACAAAGAATCGCCTTCTTATGCTGTTGTCTAGAGTAGTGAATATTGCTGTGAGTGGTTCTAGTGTTCATTTTGTTTACCAGGCAGAGCTGTTGTTAGGAGGATATTGCATTGACCTCTATTTTATTGCTTGAATTTTATAGTGACTAAGCAAGTAGCCAAGTAGTATCAACAACAGTGTTATTCAAGGCTCCATTTACTTGAAGCATTTGCAATTTGTTTTTTTCCTTGTTGGAAAGCAATAAGCACAAGATAGAAATTGAATAAAATAAAAGTAGCCAAACCTCAAAAATATCGACCAACTGGAGCCGTAGCTTCCTAATCTCTGCAATAATACAAGTTACTTGGTTAGAATACTGCAAGATGGGTGAAAAACTTCAATTCCCTTGGGTTTATCATCTAGTCTGTCACTCTTATCTGACGAAAGAACATTTTTGTCTCTAAAGTGGGTCTCTCCCTCCTACCAGTCATTGTTTCATTTGCATACAGTTGATAAGCATGCAATTGCATAAACCAGCCAGTCTTGGATGTTAAGTCTGTCAACAAACATGTATGCATGTCCCTTTTCCCCAATTTTTGAGGAGGTTTGCGTGTTTCCTGCTGTTTGTTTTTCCTTTCCGCTCTGTCGCTGTGGGGGTGTGGGTGGATCAAGTTTTGTGTTGCCTCCAATATAAAATCAAATAAACCATTCCAATGTTCCCCTCTGCTTGCAAAATCTATTTCTGTCCTCAGGCGCTCCCGAGATGGGTGGTATACCATGAACTGGTTCTTACCTCCAAGGAATACATGAGAAATGTAAGTATTCTTTTCTCTTTGGAATATAAATTCAGTGTTAAGTCGTTGCTTAGTAAGTGTCCACGACTAATGCCAATACCATGGGAGTTCAATTGCAGGTAACTGAGCTGAAACCAGATTGGTTGGTCGAAATAGATCCGCATTACTACCAGATGAAGGATGTCGAAGATGGTATGCTCTCTCTCATTCTCCCTCCAAATCTTGAACCCAAAATTTGCCCTGCACTGTCTGATCCTTCCGCTCTTCCACTCATATGCACGGTTATATCATTCCATGCACTCAAAGTGTATTCTAATGTTTTCTTTTGTCATGGTTAATGTTATTGAGGGCCCTAATTGATTAGAACAAGTCTTGAACTCGGTTTATCGCCATTTAACACTTACGGTTTCTTAGTGACACCAGAGGGTGATTGCATTATAGAACCTTAATAATGTTGGAAATTCTTACAATTGACCAAAAGCTATATATGTATATATATAGCAACATAAAATAGCATGATTACTCAATTCATTTCTTTGCAATCTGCATAGCACCCTTGTCCTCGTAATGTTTTCTGGTAATACAATTCGTTCCTTGGATAGCATTTGGAGATAGTTGCATTCATGTTTAGTTCTTAAATGCGGAACCATTGATTGCCATGGTGTACTTATATAACACTGATATGTATGCTCTTCTGTTTGTTCCATGATAACCATCTACAGACTGACTGCCAGATTCATAGCTACCTAGGTTTACATGTTTTTAAAATGCACTAATAGCTTAAACATTATTATCTGTACAGTTGGATCAAAGAAAACGCCGAAAGGACAGGGACGAGCGGCAGAAGAACCCTTGCTTCTGTTCATGTTTAGACGGTTATGATCTGTATCACCAAGGAAAGAGACCTAACCAAGTGTGCACGGAGGTGCTTGTTTCGGGACACGAATTCTTCTGCAACCACTGTAAATACAATTAGCACGTATTAATTAGTAGCTATACGGCGCATACTCGAATGAATGTGTCGGATAATTAGTTTTCCCAAGTTTTTTTTCCCCATGTATTTTGAAGACCTTGTGAGATTATATTCACATGCCCATACGTGAAAACGAGTACTAGATGTGGATACTTCAAGTTTTGGGACAACAGAGGCCGGTAGAGTGCTAGACTTTTAGCCATTTTACATGAAACTGATCAATCTGATGAAGAACAAGATTAACCACTTTTCATTAACATTTTTTTTCTATTATTAATTTTGGTGAGGAAATTGTAGAACTAATATTTGATATAACAAATAAGGACAAAATATTTTGGACTAAATTGAATTTATTGAAAGTTTTCATCAAAAAAATTCAAAGTCCAATCAAAACATTAAAATAAGTATTTTGATCAGAAATTTTGAAACTTTCCAAGACAATTTCCCAAAGTTTCGATATCGTAACCGGTTTTCGTCCGGGCACGAATTTTTTACTTGGCGGGAAAAGTGATGTGAATATATGGTTTTTTAAAATAATTTGGGAGTCGCCATCGGCCTTTTGGGCCAGGTAGGTCGAATACCTAAAAAATTATCTTTTAAAAGATTTTTAAGAAACATCAGTTAAAAGATAAACTGATCTGCGTTTTAACCAAAAATTCATTCTTTTTAAAATAAAAGGGATTCGTAGTCGGTTACGTTTAGGGAAGGATTAGCACCCCTACAACGCCCAAAATTGATACTTTTTAATTATAAATTGTCTCTATTATTAGAAATTTAAAAATTCAAAATATATTTAATTTATAATCCTATTATTTCAAAATTATAATTTAAAAAAAATATTAATTTATATATTTATAAATAAAATATTTATTTATTTAGAAATATCTGAAAAGGACTTCTAGGTGCCTTAAGACATCTATTTTCTTTGATATTAATAAATATTATAATAATTAAAAAATAAATTATAATTTTTTATAATATTTAATTTTAAAATACATAATAGGACATCCAGTTGTATTAAGACTGCCCTTTTCTTTGATATTGAAAAATAAATAAATATTAAAATATGATAAAAATAATTTATGTAAAATCAAATTAAGATTTAATATAAATTATTATTTATTATATATATTTATATGACTATATATAATAATAAATAATATTTAAAATATAAACAATAAAATTAAACATAAATAAACAATAATAAAAATACAATTAGAGCAATAAAACTTTATAATAAATGAAAATATTTAAAATTAATTACTAAATTATAATCTAATAAAATTAAATACTTAATTTAATTAATTATTTAAAATTATAGGGATTAAACATGCTATTTTCTTATTTATTAATTTAGTGACTAAACTAAAATTATATAAAATTCGAATATCATTAAAATAAATTAAAACATACTATTCAGATTAAATATTAATTATTAAAATTAAAGGACTAAATCTGTTATTTACCCTAAATATATTATTTTAATATAAAGACTAAAATAAATAAAATTAAAATTAAAGAACCGAATTAAAAGGATTATAAATTGATTTAGTGACTAAAATGTAAGAATTACAAATTAGGATGGCTGCGGAAAGGGTTTAACCTTTATGAAATTACACAGATACCCCTCCCTAAAACGACGTCGTTTGAGGAGAGTTTTAAATACCCAATTGGGCGGCCCTTATGAGCCATTTTTCTCATTTCTTTTCTTTCTTTCTTTCTCTGAGAGAGAAAACTCTCTCTGTTCTCTCTAAACTCTCTCCCCGGAGAGAGAGAGCTGACCACCGGCCGGCAACCATGATCCGTCGCCGGCCACCATGAACGGTGGCCGGAATTTACAAAACCATACCAAATTAAAGCTCTTTTAACCCTAAAGCCAAATCTGATATCCTTTTCTCCTAAAACCTCATAGTATTTCCTAGATCTAAAGATAATACCTTCGGTATTTTAACGGTTCGATGACGTTTTGGAGGGCTCCGATGGTCGTGGTAAGTTTCTCTCCTCTCTCAGTTTATTTTTCGTTGTTGGTTTGTTGTTGGTATTGGTGTTGGTTCTCGGTTTTATGTTGTTTTTGCTCTCTGTCTTTTTGTTGTTTCCGGTTTTGGTTTCTGTCCCTTTGCTCTCCGTGGTTGTTGGTTCCTTTTTTCTGTGTTTGGTTTTTTCTTTCATTCTGTTTTGCTCGATATCCCTCAGTCGCTCCTCGTTTGCAGGTTTGGGTGGTGGCTTTTATAGCCACCACAATGTTTGGCTCGGACCAGTCCAAAGGGGGGAGCTTTGGTGAGTCACCAAACTATTATGGTGACTCACCCCTAGAGCAGCGACATGTGTGGTTTCGTAGCGGTTCTGGAGACTTCGACATGGTGGTGGCGAGGCGTGGCGGTAGCTGAAGTGTCAACGTGGAGATGGCAGCTGGCGTGGGGCGGCTGGAACTCACTGGAAGCTTGAGGCGGCGGCTGGAGCTAGGGTTTAGAAACCCTAGCTGAAACCCTAAATTGGTTTAGGGTTTCCTTTTGGGTCTGGGCCGGTTCTGGTTGGGCCTTCAATTTGGGCTTGTAAAACGGGCCTCGGGTTTATGCCTGAACTGTAAATAAAATTATTTATTATTTAATATAATAATATCATAATAATAATAATAATAATAATAATAATAATATAATAATAAATGAGAGAAAGAAAAAAAAAACTAGTGTCTTTAGCTGCCCCTCTTTGCTTATTCTTGTTAACGAGAATAGAGCAAAGACGAAAAGAGAATAAGTTTTTTTTATTTGACTTCACTTGGAAATGTTGAACAAGTTTTTCTTTGGGATTAGTTCTTCTTATTATGAACTTTCCACTGGGGATGATAATTTCTTCTTCTGTGATGTATTTGGAAAAGGTTGAACAAGTTCTTCTCATTATAAAATTCTTCTTCCTTCTTCAGATGAGTTCTTCTTATTATGAACTTTCCTTGGAAAAGTTGATGTTGACCTATTTCCTTCTGTGATAGAGTCATTCAAAAGGTTGAATAAACTCTTCTCATTATGAACTTCTTCTTCCTTCTTCAGATGAGTTCTTCTCATTATGAACTTTCTCTGGAAAAATTGATGCTGATCTATCTCCTTCTGTGATAGAATTATGCAAAAGGTTGAACAAGCTCTTCTCATTATGAACTTTTCTTCCTTCAGATGAGTTCTTCTCATTATGAACTTTCTCTGGAAAAGTTGATGATGATCTATCTCCTTCTGTGATAGAATTATGCAAAAGGTTGAACAAGCTCTTCTCATTATGAACTTTTTCTTCCTTCTCCAGATGAGTTCTTCTCATTATGAACTTTCTCTGGAAAAGTTGATGCTGATCTATCTCCTTCTGTGATAGAATTATGCAAAAGTTGAACAAGCTCTTCTCATTATGAACTTTTTCTTCCTTCTTCAGATGAGTTCTTCTCATTATGAACTTTCTCTGGAAAAGTTGATGCTGATCTATCTCCTTCTGTGATAGAATTATGCAAAAGGTTGAACAAGCTCTTCTCATTATGAACTTTTTCTTCCTCCTTCAGATGAGTTCTTCTCATTATGAACTTTCTCTGGAAAAATTGATGCTGATCTATCTCCTTCTGTGATAGAATTATGCAAAAGGTTGAACAAGCTCTTCTCATTATGAACTTTTTCTTCCTCCTTCAGATGAGTTCTTCTCATTATGAACTTTCTCTGGAAAAGTTGATGCTGATCTATCTCCTTCTGTGATAGAATTATGCAAAAGGTTGAACAAGCTCTTCTCATTATGAACTTTTTCTTCCTCCTTCAAATGAGTTCTTCTCATTATGAACTTTCTCTGGAAAAGTTGATCCATAGAATGATTAATTCAAGCGAAAAGTTGAACAAGTTCTTCTCATTATGAACTTCTTCTTCCTTCTTCAGATGAGTTCTTCTCATTATGAACTCGACCTGGTAATGCTGATCCATTGAATGATGGATTTGAACTTTGCTAAAATCTTTGAAATTCTGTCAAATATTCAACATGGATAAAATGAATGAAAATGCTCATATTTGCAAATGTCTAAATATGATGCAGAATGTTGATGCAATCTTCATTTGACTTCAAAATGGTGAACTCGGTTTCCTCCACTTCATCATTTATTGCCAGGGTCACCTCTGGATATCAGTGTAGCAACTTATGCTATCAAGCTTGCATTTCTGAAGAACCATCTGATCAACTTGTATCTTTATGTTTTCTTTACTTCATGAAAGTCTCAGAAGAATTGTTTCATTTGTGGAACTCTTGTCGTAGTCAGAACTATGACCCTGACGTCCCATTTTATCTTGGATAAAACCAACTTTCTTTGCTTGGAGTTGTGCAGAAATCCGATAAAGCTTCATCTTTGAAAAGAGAATCTGTCATCTTTAAAAAGGGAATTTATCATTTTTAAAGAGTAGATGTAGATAGACTGATCAGCAGGAATTAATTAGGAGAGTAGAGTCTGTTCTAATTTAACTCTTTGAAACATATCACAAGGAGGATTTATCCTAATTCCTTTCATGTCTCTACATCTAATCCAATCTCGAATATGGCAACTTGGACCATATCATGTCGAGATGTTTAACAACAACCTATTGTTCAACCTTAGTTGGTGCCATTAGTTTCTTGTTTTTAAAATTTCAGCTCTCCTTCTGTGGAAAGAAATCTTCATCATACTCACTTTTAATCTTGGGTTGAAGAAGACAAACTTCATCTTGGATCAATAAATGGAAACCATATGATCGCAACATTGGTTCAACATTAGAATAGCAGGTTCGTAAAATATTTGACAGTGCATTCTTCATCTCATGTGGTTTAAGCTCATATGTAAAACACTTGACAACACATTCATCCTTTTCTGTGGGATGCAAAACACTTGACAACACATTCATCATTTTCTGTGGCTTATGCTCAGATGTTCGTAAAGCATTTGATAACACATTCATCCTTTTCTATGGCTTCTGCTCAGATTTCTCAATTATTGAAGCTCTTTGGCTAGTGTTCAAAGTTTTTGTATGATATCACAAGATTACTTGAGATGTTGGTTGACAAAAACGTTGGTCAAAATTCACGATATATGCTAGTGTGAGTTGAATAAAAGATACCAACTGATCTCGATCATCTCGGGTAAGGGCAAGTGTGATATTGATCACGTTTTCTTTGTAATGAGCATTGTAGGAATTAGAAACACATAAGCTATAGGGG